ATCAATGTTACGACAATATAAATATCAAGGTAGATCATGCTAGTATAAATGTTTATTGTGAGCATTATAGTGCGTTTCTGAAATAGAACATCATAACATTCATAACCCACTCCACTCAATAATATTTCTGATAAACTATCTTCTCTACATCAGTTTTTATGTTCATGGAGTGTCAGATACTCAGATATAATACAAACCATAAAGCTTTATCTAAGGACTAAGTTGTTAAAAGGCTTACGCCTAAGATGACATTCTAACTTACCTGCATGGGCTGCATGTTTTATAACTTTAAATAAGTTAAATAAGGCTAAATAGGTTCTTAAAATAGAAAAAATGGGTAAATGCCCAAATATGCACTAAAAAAATTTCATTTTTTAAATCGTGCTCACGTAGCATATCATACAATCGACCATAACATACTATATGCAAATGCATATTAATCCGCGCCCTAAGTATAGCATAATGCACAGGATCTGATTTTAAGACTAGTTAAAATGTTAATTTTTTTTAAACTTTTTTCTTATTTAGTTGATTAATTTTCTAATTAACTTAATGACTAATATTATTCAATAATAATATATTGATTACTCATATCTATTTAAAAACGGTGAAGTATAAATTAATAAATATCTTTCTATTATAAAATGAAATGTGTAGGTATGCGGGTGTGGGGTACAACAAGGTATACAAATTAGTAAATACCTACTATTTTTTTACAAGTATAATTTTTTTTTTTACAATTTGAGCTTTGAATTTATGGGTAATCTACTCAAGAATTAACTACCTACCTATCCAAACTTGAATATATACCACAGACATTGAGTATGAAAAATATAACAATTGTTTTTGTTTTTAGATATTTTAAATATATAGTATTATATTAAACCTAATCTTTATTTGATAATCAATAAAATTATTGTAAAAATATATACGAGTATATATTTTTTTTTTATATGGGTAACGGCCTTTAAGACCAGCTTTCCAAGTATATTCTCTTCGATCTGTATATCCATCTATCCTTTCTATTCTTCCTACATCTTTAGCAACACAATCCTCCCATCTTATTTCTACCCAAATGTTGTTTTCCTGGTGGGTTGTTTTCGATTACGGTCTTTATTATTGACCCTTGTTTCCTCCATGCTTGTGGAATCACGACGTTGAGCCGACAACCAGTAGGCCGACAAGATATAAAGCCGACGGCGTTTGCCCGACAGGATATCAGGCCGACATGGTACCTATCTAAATTGTATATATTAATGTTTAAATTTAAAAATAAAAAAATTGTTTACTTAATTACAATTTATTTTCGTCTACAAAATATATTAAAAAATTAATTACATATTTTAATATAAATTTAATTTTAAAATAATTTGTTATTGTTAAACTAAAATATATTAATTATCAATATTAATAGTATAATCGTCTAAAAATCATAAATCGTAAAAAAATTACATTTATAGTTTTATATTATAAGCTGTACCTTTTAGAAAATCTATCAGGGTCCTATTACCTTTATCATTAATAATATGAAGCATGCCACGAAGTGTATGTAAACCATTGACACAATCAGTCGTAGCTCTGGCATTACAATTTTCATGCTTGTCCTGCCCATTCCAGTCTTCTAACTGAGATTTATTTTGTAAAAAATATGCAGTTTATAAAATATAAATACAGATTACAGCCTACAGGTACCTAATACCTATATAATCAGACTCATTTCATAATCTTAACAATTAAAAAATAATAATAGTAATATGCAATAGAATGCAGTGATATGCATATATATATATATTAATCTGTATATAATTGGTTAGTTTTTTATTACTATTTACTGCTATCTAAATTGATCTTACAAATGCATATTTTGAATACTTAGCAATCAGTCAATTTTAGAAATTGTTAGGTATTTTGTACATTTCCTAATGGCTTCTAGTCCTACCTATTTCAAAACTAACTAAGTATTATTGCTGCGTGTATAATACACAAATTACAAGTCTCAAATTCGTTTGAATTTAACTTTATAGTTACATTATGGAACTATAAACTTAACTGTGGCCATGCGTTTGCGAGTGAAATTAATCATACCCTACATAATCATACATAAGAGAATGATAGGTGGTGGAATTGTTCATCAATAGGGAATTTCATGAAGATTTCATTAAAATGGTAAGTTTAATGAATATTAAAGTAGTTTTCCAGATTCTTCCCAATAATTGTAAAAATAACATACGCAAATTCGCTTTATCAATAATCATGATTTGTTATTTGTTATCAATTTGTATTTTGTACATACAATTAAAGATAGTTACTATCACCATAGAACAATACGGACTAAGAATAGATAGTCCGTGGACCGTCCAAGGTTTTTAGATGATAAACCTTTATCTAAAAACCCATCCCGGCACAGAATGTGATTTAAAGGCGCAGGTTTGCTACACTTGTTTGCGAACTGGTGCTGCCAGAAAAAGATAATTCACATTAGTCTACCTTTTTGGTGACACTGGATTAAAAAAAAATATTGATTTCGGATAAAATACGGTTCGGAAGAAATATTTTTCGTCGAGAAAAAGTTTCGGGTAAAATATTTTTCGGATAAAAAACGTTTCGGTTAAAATATTTTCGACTAATATATTTTCGGCTTGGTTATTTTCGTGCATAATATTTTCTGATAAAATATTTTTCGTGTATTTTTCTTTTGAATTTAATCATTTTCGGATAAAATACGGTTCGGGTGAAATATTTTTCGTCGATAAAATGTTTCGGGTAAAATATTTTTCGGATAAAAAACGTTTCGGTTAAAATATTTTCGGCTTAGTTATTTTCGTGCATAATATTTTCTGATAAAATATTTTTCGTGTATTTTACTTTCGTATTTAATAATTTTCGGATATAATACGTTTCTATTAAAATATTTTTCGGATAAAATTATTTTCGTAAATTTATTTTCGGATAATATATTTTCGGCAATAATATAGCCCCTCCCTTTAAGACACCCTTACACTACAATCGTAGATTCACTTGCTGTTAGCCCAACATTAAGGTAAGACAGAAATATTTCTTGAGTCTTTAATTTATAAAAAAATGTATTGTTGCGCCGTTACCGATCCTACGAATTGTGCGGTTGTCGGCAACGACTTGCGTAAAGTGTTGAAGGCTGGAGCGGGGACGGGTTACTCAATATATGCGTACAACTCAAATGTGAGGTCGGAAACACGTTTAATGTGTGTAACAAAATATGATAAATAAATAACGGGCGCCCAAAATAATATAGTATAAATTAACATAACAACTAAGTACCATAGCTGGTGAACAATAATTATAAAGAGCCCACTGACACGTGGGACTAAAAAACAATGAATAAACCTGACGACGGCTACTGCGTGGCTCGACGATCCTTGGTGCTGACTGCCGACCAAAGTAGGTACCTCGCCGGAACGGCGACGGCGGACAAATCTTCAGCTCGTCGCTCGACGATGATAGCTCGTGGTTCCACGTGACAAGCGCGAACGCGAACTCGAAATAATGTTGACGTAGGTACTTCCGTAAGAAACACTCGCGATCACGCGGAGGATACTAAATACGCGAACGGCGTGAATATACGAAAACGGAAGCTCGATGTGAGCGTAGTGACGGACGTCGATCACGACGAAACCGATGAACAAAATATGCGTGTTCACATGCGACTTTTATTTCACGCGGAGTTATGGGCGCGTACCACAACAGCGACGACAACGCAAAATGTAAATTTGGCCGTAGGTGTCTACCGTGAGTCGTGACCGCTGATCACAGCTCGGGCCTCACAGTTTACCTACCTCGTGTTCACACGAGTTTGTACAGGAACGCACGACACACACGGAGAGCGATAGCGCGGACGTTGCGCTACGTTCGGCCGTTGGAAAAAGACAGTTTTTAAAAATGTTCACGACGGCCGATGGCCAGCTCGACGGCCGTCGACGGCGGCGCGGGACTACGGAGGGGGAAAGCGTCGCTCGGAGCTTCGACCAGCCCCTGGACACTCGGTCGCCATCTTTTTGAAGGACAAATTGTTATCACCGCTGTAATCAAATCACTTTCATTGTTTTATTCTGTGATAACAACGTGTTTACAGCATGATAACGTTCGAAATTGAAAATTCAGTTGCTCTATTTTTTTTATGTGCAATATACACTAATGACAGAATTAAGTAATAAAATTAAACAAAATTAGCATCATTGTCTTATTCTGTGTTATAAAATTATTATGTAATGATGCAACATAGTTTTTTTTCTCATTGGAGGTCACACTGATTTGTCCTTCAAAAACATGGCGGCATTGATTTAGTTATTATCCTATGTTCCCCGTATATTTTACAATCAGTGTCCATTCTGATTGTCTTATTCTGTGCTTCGACGTCTAACGCAACTTGGAGTGTCCGTGCTTTTGCCTTTGTTTTGGCGGCAAACCCGTTCTGCGTTCGAACATGTATATTATGTTTACTTATAAAAATATTTATTTATTCATTTACACATTATCTTTTCGAAGAAATAAATAATAATAATCATACTGACCTCATTAGTAACTTCAATGTCCCACATGAATTTATGGGATGGTTATGATTCAGTTTTAAATGAATTATTGCACATAGTGGTTGTTCTCTTTTTAGATATTCATAATTTTTTTTTTGTATTTTTATTTTTTTTTTTAAGCAATATATCCAAAGATGCTTGGCATGTGACATCTCTTTTACTTTTTGAAATTAATCATATTGAATAATATTTACTAGGTATTGAAAACAATTTATTTTAGAGGCTACTGCTAGTTAACAGTGTAGCCAACCGGCGGCCAGAGGGACTTGGGCTAAAAAGAGGGCGCTCCCCTCAAAAATCAATATGAACACAGACAGAAATGAAGATGATGTTAATGGTACAGAGGCCTCGGAAACCTCAGACCCGGCAGTTGTGGGTGAGCTCGCCACATCGGTCGTTATCAATAGCTCGGTTAATGTAAGCTGGAACACGGAAATGGATAAATTTGATATATCGGAATCGGACATTTTAAGCATACAAAAGAAATTGAACTTTGTTAAGGAGTTCTTTCAGGATGACAGTTATTGGCCAAAGAACGCAACAACAGGAAAACATAACAAAGTTAACGATCATAATCGTGGAAAAATGATACAAATAGTAGACAGTCTAACAAACAAAATACTATTTCTTGATAAATGTAAGGTCAAATCAGACACGCACCTAGAACTTGTCAAAGACAAAATAGACAAAGTGTTAAAAGACCTCGACTTATTAGCGGTCGAGGGCCTATCTAATAAAAACAGGTTTCAGGTATACGACCTTGCAAAAGAATTAAGAGCCTCTCTTGAGACGGCTCAATTGATCCTTTATGAACACATGCACGAGGAACTATCTGAAGACGAACAGATGAGGATCCTGCGTAGCCCTACTAGTCAAGGCCCACAACAGCTGACTTACAGACGACTAGACAGTCATAGTTCGGTTGTCTCGGTGACCGAACACACTCGTTCGGATACGGGTAGTCTAGAAACTCTGGAGGGTCCGTCTAATTCGCAGAAGAGACACGAACCCGAGTTGAGTCCCACTGATAGGACTGAGATTGAAACCAAAAAGACAAAAACAGATGAAGAATCTGAGGAGACTGTTGGTGAACTAAATCACCTAGTCCACGCGGAATTGGACAACCTAAAAACAATTATTGAAAGCGACAGCTTGAATAAGCGAATAACAGTCACTATGCGTAAAGAACTTACGGGATCTTACAACCGTATCTGCTCGATCGTAAGAGACATTACGTACCAACACGCAAAGCTTGAAGGGGCTTATAAAGAAACAGTAAAAAACAAAAGAGAAAGGCCAAATAAGCCTAGCAGACCGCAAGCAATCATCACAATTAACGATGATGATGATGATGATGAAACATCCACACCGCGAGTAGACAATGACAAATCTTATTCAAACGCAGTCCAACGTAACAAATCGGTCGCTGTACCCGCCAGGGTTAGTGTTCACGATGGAAGAGTTGGAAAAAAGAACTCTAAAACAAAACAAAGGTCAAAACGCCCAATGACACCGGCGGCAGTCACAGAAAACCCAGCGCCACAAGTCCAACAATCTACAACGGAAGGCACCTTCCAAGTAGTTGAAAGGACCAAAAAGCGAAAAGGTAAAAAGAAGACTAATATAGACCTGAATACAATCAGAAAACCACCAGCCTTGCCAAGGTTTATCCTAAAGGACTCCGCGACAAGCGAAGACTATCCTAAACTATGGAAAATGTTCTGGACAGTACTAAGGAATAACATTAAAAACCCAAGACTGGCGGTTCATAAAAACCGCACAAAAGGTCCAACCATACTAGTACCGGACAATAAGGACACCTTAGATGCCCTGAGAGATAATACCTTGGTCTTGGAAATTATTCCGAGAAAGCCACGGTTGACTCTTAAAGGCCTCGACAGCAGCCTTAAGGACGAGGAAGTAATTCAGGAACTGCTAGATTGCAATCCGGAATTGGGTCTAACCGAGACCGATGCACAGGACATCAGAGTGGCCTACCACTCTGGGCCAAGCTCAGGGACGGTTACCAACTTTGTCCTTGAGGTAAGTCCTGAAATTCTTCGAAGAATTGAAGGAAAGAAAGCGTATATCGGCGGCATTCGATGCACACTGAGTCTGAATCATTCAGTGTCACAGTGCTTCAAGTGCCAGAAATACGGTCATACGTCAAAGAACTGTCGTGAAGAAGAAATGACATGTAGAAACTGTGCTGGCAGCCATGACAGCCGAACATGTCAGATCAAAGAATTTAAATGTTGCAATTGCAAGGGCGAACATAAAGCATCTAGCGACAGCTGTCCTACAAAGACAGCCGCTCTGAAGCGCCTGGCAAAGCGGACTGACTTCGGCCAACCGCTTGCGACAGGAACTACAGATAAAGAACAATAATGAACGGCCTGAAGATAATTCAGGTCAACTTAAACAAACAAATGATCGCCTCCGAACAACTGAGGGACATATGTTTGAAAGATAAGGTTGACATCATACTCGTCCAAGACCCACTTATAATTAATGGCTACGTGACTTGCTTCGAGGGCTGTCGACAGATTCTGTCCGATGACAATCCCGAAGCTGCCATAATTATAACAAATAATAAAATCAAAGCAATAAAAATGGGACAATTTACAACTCGTTATATTGTGGTTGCCAGAATTGGCATCGGCCTCAGTAAAGACGACGTTGTGATAGTATCAGCTTACTTTAGGTATAACAAGCCCACAACAATGTTCACAGAACTACTGACCAATATCAGTTTGGCAAATAGACGCCTATTGATTGGTGCTGATTGCAACGGCCATTCCATAAGATGGCACAATGACTCCACCAATGCAAGGGGAAAGATAGTTGAGGAACTGGTCGATGATCAGGATCTCCGCATAATAAATACCCCTCAAGATCTAAAGACTTATAAAAGGCACGGAATGGGTGAGTCCAACATTGACATTACACTGGCCAGTACCTCGATCAACAGATCAGTAAGAGGCTGGACCGTGACCGACCGGACAGACAGTGACCACAGGACACTGGAATTCACTTTAAACCTCAAAAGTCCTAAAAGGAAAATTGAAAACCCAGGTACAAGGTTTAATACAGACAAAGCGGACTGGGACAAATTTAGACTCACGCTCTTGGGTCTAAAGACGAATATCCACGGCGATTCTGTTGACGAAATCGCATGCAGCCTAACAGAGGCTATTGTCCAAGCAGCAAAGCTATCCATGCCAACGCGTGGAGGGGCTAAAACTGGTATAACAACACCATCGTGGTGGACGGATGAACTCACTAAGTCAAAAAAATCACTTCAGAGAATCAGGCGAGAGGGCCTCCCTGATACAAACAGGCAGGCATATCAGCACCAAAGAAACCAACATCTGCATAAAATCAGACTCGCCAAGATGAGTTCTTGGCGCGAGTTTAGCGCAGACATGAATACTAACTGTTGGGGCAAAGCCTTCAGATGGGCTAAGAGTGGCTCACGGAAGAATCCGATGCCCACCACGGTTAAAACCAGTGCCGGGACTTATACCACCGACATTAAAGACACCTTAGATACGTTTCTCGAGGCCTATTTGCCCGAGGATCGGAATATGCCAAGTTTTATGCCTTATGACCACCAGGCAGATGACACACCTCCTGACAGTACAACTGCACAAGAGGTAAAAGAAGCCATTTGGAAAATGAAACCAAGTAGAGCACCAGGTCTGGATGGCATAACCGCCAAGATGCTTAGAATTGCATGGCCAGTCATCTCAGACTCCATAACGGATCTATATGAGAAATGTCTAAAAATTGCAAGATTTCCCAACTGTTGGAAGATCGCCAAGTTGGTGATCATTCCAAAAGGAAAAGGAAAGAACCCACTTCTTACGGGGTCGTACAGACCAATTAGTCTGCTACCAACTCTCGGTAAGGCATTGGAGTCTCTAATAACATCAAGACTAGAAAAAGAAACCGGACTAAACGAAATAGGCCAACAACACGGGTACGTCACCGGAAGATCAACCGAGACAGCCGTTAAAGCATTATATGACTGGACAGATCAGTGTCCTAACAGGATAATAGTTGGTGCCTTCCTGGATATTACTGGCGCATTTGACTACGTCAGATGGTCACCAATATTCGAACGATTAAAAATCCTCAGGATTAGTAAAAGAACGCTTGCACTACTTGAGAACTATCTCACGAACAGATCAGCGACACTCATGTCTGACAAAGAGACCAGAACAAGGCAAATGACACGCGGCTGCCCACAGGGGTCGAGACTAGGACCGACACTCTGGAAGGTAGCGATGTCGGATGCATTCGAGCCTATAGGACACCAATCACACATGATTGCGTATGCAGACGATATAGCACTCGCAGTCGGGGCTGCAAGATTAGACACAGTCAAGAAAAGACTTAGTCAATACTTTGACCAACTCACAAACTGGTCAAATAAATTCGGCTTAAAATTCTCAATGGCAAAGAGCCAAATTATGACACTGAAAGGCGGGGTCAAACCCACCTATACGGTGCCATTTGGCTCAAACGCAGATGCCATACAGATTAAAGCTACAAAGACAGTAAAATACCTTGGAGTCATCATAGATCCGAGAAGATCATTTAGAGATCACGTCGAAGACATCTCAGATAAGTCAAAAGAAATGTTCTTACGCCTACGCTCCATGACATCAGCTAACTGGGGAGTAGAACAAAGCACGTCACTGATAATTTACAAATCGGTGTTCTTGCCCAGAATAACATACGCCGCCTCCATATGGCAAAAAGCACTAGAGCTCAAATGCTCAATAAAGACCCTAGGAAGCATTCAAAGAGATGCCTTACGAGCAATAACGGGCGCATACAGGACAACGTCAACAGCTGCACTTCAAGTCATATCAGGGCAACTACCTCTGGACTTAGAAGTGAAACGCTTTATTCTTAGAAGATCCTTAAAGACAAATGATATCACATATCAAGAATATGAACGGCACTTGCATGATCTGTTAGAGGTCTGGCAAGAAAGATGGAATACAGTGGATAAAGGAGAGTGGACATTCCAACTCATCCCGGACGTAAGAATCCGGTATGGATTGCCCCTTACTATGGATCATTATACGAGCCAAATGCTCACTGGACACGGAGACTTTCGAGGAAAGCTCCATTCGTTCAACAAAGCACCGGCTCCAGGATGTGCCTGTGGTAATGGCAGTGAAACAGTCAAACATGTTCTCCTAGCCTGCCCAAGAACAAAAATCCAAAGACAAAATCTGAAAAGAAAACTTCAACAAGAACAATGTCCTTGGCCACCATATGACGGGGCCATACTTACAAATAAGACAACATACGAAGCCTTCCGAACATTTGCTCGGGAGAGCCTCAAGCAAAGAACAGATCGATGATCCGAAGATCGCCCTGCGGTCTGGGCGGTATAAGAATAGGTCCGCAGTCTTGCCCGCTTGTCGTAAGAGGCGACTAAAGGGATGGCCAGTCGGGGCCGGCGTCTGGGACGCGGACACACCGAAACCTTCGGGGACTAGGGTGTCGGAGGTTTTGACAGCGACCTCAAGAAGAGCGTGTCGATCACTTCGGTGATGCCTCGGGGAGGCGTAGCAAAGGCTACCGAGCCTAACTCGGGGGTCGCGGCCACCGCGCCGGCAGCGAACGCCGCTGGTAAGGGCCCACCGAGAGCCTGTGGTACACGGACACGAATCTTGGAAGGATCACAGCCGAGGCTTCGGCCGACGAAGCTCGGTCCGACCATCTCACCATTGATGTGCTTTCCTAACGGGAGCGAGAATGGTACTTCGGGATGTGGGGGAGCCCCGCGGCGTTGAGCAATTGACGCCGTGCCCCCATACGACGGTCCCGCACCGTTAGATGCGTGGCCGACGGCGGTTTGGTTTCGAAGTGGCTGTTAGCAGGAGCTAATCATGTGGTTAAAAGACCAAGCTAGGTCTAGGGGAAAGCTGCCGAGTGAGACATCTCCTTAGCGCCCACCCAGCCTACCGGAGAGGCTATATGTACCGGAGGTTGCCCGTGACCAAAAACGGGAAGCAATGAGGATAGCTTGCGACCCAACCAGGGTGGCGAAGGGCACGTGCACGCCTCAGCCAACGGTACGGGCGCACTCTCTCCCGACTTCGGTGGGAACGGGTGTGTGCCCGGTGCTCGTGGTCCATAGACGACGCGCGGCCGGCTTGCCGACCGTGAACCTCCGCGGTTCTTGACTAGCGCACAGCGCTAATAAAAGGCCCGTGGTTGTAGCCGAGAGGCACCAAAACCTAGGAATATACATGCTAGTTAACAGTTCATGTACCTACATTGTTTTGGGGGGGGGGGGATATTGTCTTGATACATTTATTGAAGTTTGTTGACATTAATGATCTGAATGATTTAAGTATAAATTACAACATTTTTTGTACAATAATACTTCTTCCTACCTTCGAATTATTTAGTAACACTGCTCTACACTACAATCATTTTCACATTTTATTTACTATTTATTTTCAATATTTTTAACCTAATAAACTGTGAGGCCAACCAAAAAATTTTAATCAATTTATTTTGCTTAATTTTGTAGTACCTACTACATTAACTGCACTTACTTTTGTGGATTTTTAAATTCAAAACTGACGTTTCAAATTTGTTTGATATTGAACTAAACAAACTCACCCATTCAATTGCATTTTCCATATCAATTAAGTTCGCTCCAATAATAATATTTTGTTTTTCTAAGTCTGACTTTGACCAATCAATTACACATATAAAATGTTCGTTTATTTTTCTTCTTATGTTTTCAAGTAAAGACATTTTTAATTGAATAGAAATAACAATTATTAACGAAAAATATATATTATTATATTATTTATAATAATAATCAAATAATAATAAAAATCGCGCAATTTAAATGAAAAACGATGATTGATAATATGTTGGCGCGAAATTCAAATGGGCCAATGAAATGCGCGTATTAATAATAATATACGGAGCTGGGGCTATAGAGCCTTTGTTAATACGCGAACCGGTGATCAATAATAAGCCAAAATGATCCGGCAGTTCGTCATCGACCACCCGCAGGGGGTACGCCGCCGATTCCGTCGTAGATTTTTTATTTTTATTATTTTTGCATTTTTTCATGCCATAAACGTTGATCGATGTACCGGGATTCACTCGCTCGAATAATGGTATCTCCGATACGGGCGTGGGGACGGATAACGTGGAAAAGTCGTAACGGTGCTCTTCGCATAAATAATTCGCGCCTACTCTGGTACGGTTTTCATGGGGCACATGCTTTGCCAAAATCGCCCACTTAAAGCATTGTAGATCTATGTTTTTAGGATTTATTACGGCCTTTCGATTTGCGATGCTCGGCGGGAGTGCCAAGTATGACGAGGCACCCATAGACGAGTACTCGTAAACCCCCAAAAGCATCCCGTCAATGCATGATAGGGCGAAGCCGCTGTTCTTGCCCGCGTAACCGTCCTCCTCGGCGAGAAGTGCCGTAAAATCGCGATCTACCACACCCTCGACGTCGCTGTACGAGTACAACTCTCGGGCCGATGACTTGAAAGCACGGTTTTCGTTGGTGTTTTCCACGTTAGGTACTGAGTAGGTGGCCTCTAACTTGAGGTTATATTTAATCGGATGACTTAGCACACATTCGTGTAATTTCACTATAAATTCCGACTCAATCGAATGGAGAATAACTCCTAACGTTTTCGATATTTTTTCTGAAATGCCACACGGTCGCGCGTTTGAACGTAGATTGTAATTCAATAAAGCCTGGCGTATTAACCGATTGCATACGATCCTTTTTACGCTTAATGTTTCTGCCACTGTTCTCCGTATATTGATGCGATAGTGCAGGCGGCGGGCATGCGTTATTACGGTCGAATGTCCGACTAGACGCGCCCGAGATACCAGTGATAGCGGCAGCCGCCGGAGACGGGACAGCAACAGCTGCTGCTGGCTGGGTGGGCAGTATAACGGTTGCGAGTGCGGGCGCTCAGTCTTTAACCGTCGGACGATCTAACACGTATTATTAAATAATATTGTTATTAAAATTGTATTATTATCAATATTTAATGAGATTTAAAAAATTTACCCATTGCGCTGCCTATTCGAACCGCATTGCGGTGGTCGTTGGTATGCAGGCGGGCGGCCTCTGCTTATTTGGAAATAATTAAATTAAATTAAATTAATAACCTATGTATATATAGTTAAAGCATGCATTGTAATATGCACTTACTGTGGACATTCTTGGCGTGCCGCGATAGGTTGCTTTGCTGCGTAAAGACCTTTGCACATAGCCCACATGAAGTTGTTGAACCGTCGTGGATTTTCGAATGCCTGTTTAGACCACGGTTATGTGTATACACTTTTCCACACGTGATACAGTCGAACATTTTTACGATATTTTAACACGCACAGAATTTAACAAATAAACGTTTGGAAATACGAACAGGACCGTTATTAAGACGTTAAACACTGCTGAGCTCTGAAAACCGTCTGATACGAAAAATATTGACAACGGCGATGGATAACCGAATTCCGTATATTATACATATATATTTAATATTAATAATAATAAAATTCGTGCCGACTTCACTGCTATACGCTGCATATGCGCATTCCCGCCGATCGCGTGGGATGAATACAACATATCGATATATAAAATTGGCTTATGTTGCACAGAATAATATATACTATTACTATATACATATATTCGTATAGAGTTTATACTGCAATAGGTATGTATATATATAAGAATTATGCTACTATATATAGGTATATACTATAGTATGTACATAGTATATACTCTAGTATATATAGGTATATACTATATTATGTACATAGTATATACTTTAGTATACAGGGTGATTTTTTATCGTGAACCAGTTAATATCTCGGGAAGTATTAGGAATTTTAAAATAATTTTTTTTTTAACTTTCTAGGTGTTAATATTTTACACTGTGTTACAATTTTGAAAATTTTAACTTACTACCTTATTTGATAAAACACGATCAACTTTAGATTTTTAAATGGAAATACCCATTTTCGATAACAAAAATCTATAAACATACTGAAAAAAATAATTTTAACGTTTACAGAATTTAATTTGAGTAAGCGGTTTACGACTTATTAATGCTGAAATGTTCGTTCAATTTACTACTACTGTGCAATTTAACAACCCAACTCTAAAAACCAGAAGTCAAAACGAAATTTTATCTCAATTTAACAATACCCATAATAATCGATAATAATCGGTTATAATTGATAATAACTAATAAGTACAATAGTGCAAAGGTCAGACGAATTGGACCTTAATATCTTATCACCCATCCCATCCGAACACATCTGAGTGTCCACGGAAATAGTGAATACTGAATAACATATAGATAATATCTTTATTATCTATGGAATAACATGACAAAATAAATAGGTAGGTATGTCAGCAACATTACGAGACGCAGTCCGGTTAGCACATCCCACCCTTCTCAACTATAGTCGTAGTTTATCTCATTACATTTGGCGAACCAGCTTATCGACGTAGTGTGGAGTGGTCGACGAACCCGATGCGTATCAAAAAGTTGCTGACATACCTATCTATTTTGTCATGCTCAAACCGTATTTTATAATTATTCACCATCATGGTTACATAATATAGCACTGGTTACCAGTGGCGTGCCGAACTGACAAGCAGACCTGAGGCAAACAATTTGATCCCCTCCCCACCTGAAGCAATTTCCTCAAAAAATTACTATTCAACACGCCTCTGCTGGTAACCTGATCCCTTGTATACGGTCTTATCACGTATAACTGATAATAAATGCCTTTAAACTGTTTCTGAAAACATATTGTGGTTGTGGAGGTGTCGGCGTTGTCTATGCACCGACTGCCTCCAACCAAGTCACGTGGTGTGACGAATAAAAATTTAATTAACGAACGACAAATTTGTTTCTTACAATTGTACTTTTATTAGAGCTGTGACGAGAATAATATTTATTAATTACAGAACGTGTGTGCGACTTACGACGCGTCGAGCGAAAACGTTGGTCACGAGGTGTCTTTGGGTTTACCGTGTGTGTATATATCGATCGGAGCGAGGTGCGTCGAGCGTGTTAACTATCGCGAGGGCGCGGAACGAGAGAGACGTTCCGGGCGGCGGTTACGCCGTAGGCCCCGGGCGAAACCGATCGCTGGTTTGGAGGGGGGTGACCAACGCCTAACAGTGCTCGCGTCGTCCGGGAAGAAATCATGTGACGGCTGCGCTGCCACATTACTCCCCCCCGGAGGCGAAAAACAAACTTGTTGGTTTTTAATCTCCGGATGCTGGTGATCAATGACGTGTGCGGCATACGAGTGATCGGCCAACGGGTCATCGCGTAGTACGAAAGCCGGTTTGAGACGGTCGACTGCTATCCAGGATGTTCTGTTGTTGAGCTGCAGTTTGAATAGTTTGTCCCGGCGTTCAAGAACGGCGTAAGGGCCTTCGTAGAGTGGCTGCAGCGGGGGGCGATGCGCGTCGATCCGCAGGAACACGTGGCTGACCGTGTTGAGCTGCGTCGGCATGAAGATGCGCCTTGTGGAGTCGTTATTCGTCCCCGCTACGGGTCGGAGCTGTGCCATTGAATTGCGAAGCGCGGTAACCAAGTCATGCGAAGTCGGTTCTGGTGCTGCAGTGTGAAAAAGTTCCCCGGGAAGACGAAGTGTGGTGCCGTAAACCAGCTCGGCGGGGGAGGCGTTGATCCCTTGTTTAACGGTGTTGCGAAGTGCCAGCAGTACTATCGGCAGGCGTTCCGACCAACGAGGTGACTCCTGCGCGGTTAGCGCTGCCTTCAAGGTTCGGTGGAAACGTTCAACCAACCCGTTTGCCTGTGGGTGGTACGGGGATGTGCGAATGTGGTTGATCCCGAAGGTGTTGACGAGTGACCTGAGTAGATCTGACTCAAACTGTCGGCCTTGGTCGGTGGTGACGGTGTCGGGAACTCCGAATCGTGCGATCCACTGTGTGACGAGCGTAGTCGCGACCATATGCGCTGACATGTCGGGAAGAGGCCACGCCTCCGGCCAACGCGTGAAACGGTCGACGCACGTGAGCATGTATTTCGCATTGCTTGATATCGGTAGCGGTCCGACCAGGTCGATGTGGATGTGACCGAAACGACGGTCTGGGAAAGCGAACGGCGTGAGTGGCGAAATGGTGTGCTGCTGGACTTTAGATTTTTGACAACTCTCGCACGATCTGGTCCACGATCTGATCGTACATCGCGGTCCATGCCTGGCCAGCAAAAACGATTTTTGATGAGTCGAGCCGTGGCCGCGGTGCCCCCGTGGGCCTGCCCGTGGAGTGCCGAAAAGGTAAACCGCCTGTGTACGGTTGGTACGAAAAGTCTCGATCGGTCGTTGGTCGTGTCGAAATATACGGGGCCGCTCGGGGTCGTTCGTGCGTTTAATACCAGTGATGTAGGTGTGTCGCCAGATAATATTTTTTGAAGTTTGGCGTCGTTTGCCTGGTCGATAGCCCACTGATTGAGGTCTGGCGAGTCTTGATGTAGAGCCACCAACTCCAGTCGCGACAGTGCGTCCGGGACCACGTTGCTTTCGCCGCTGATGTGCTCTACGTCATGTACGAACTGCGACAGGAAAGCGATGTGACGTGCCTGGCGGTCGAGCAGCTTTTCCGTTTTTTGCGTGAACATGAACACGAGTGGGCGGTGATCGGTGCGGAGCGTAGTGTGTCTTCCTTCGATGGAGTGCATGAAGTGTTGTGCGGCGAGGTACGCTGCCAGCAGTTCTCGGTCGTACGTGCTGTATCTCGATTGTGTAGCGGAGAGCTTGCGTGAGAAAAAACCGAGCGGTTGCCACGTTCCCGCGTGCTCTTGTTCCAGCGCCGCTCCGACAGCGACGTTTGACGCGTCGGTGCATAACCGTAGTCGGGCGTTGGGCAACGGATGCACTAAGTGTAGCGTGTCGGCGAGTGCTTCGCGACATGTGCGAAACGCCGTGCGCGCTTCTTCAGACCAAGTAAGGGGGCCGTCGCGTTTTTTAACCTGAGCCGAGAGCGCGTATAGTGGAGTTTGAAGTGCAGCGGCTTTCGGGATGAAACGGTGGTAAAAATTGAGCGATCCCAGGAAACGCTGCAATTCCTTTTTTGTGTTGGGTTGAGGCCATCGGCGAATGGAGGTGACATTTTCCGGGTTTGGGCGTGAGCCCTGTGCGTCGACGACATGCCCTAGGAAAATAAGCGACGATACCGCGAAAACGCACTTGGCTGGGTTGATGGCGATGCTGTATTTTTCGAAACGCTCGAGGACAGCGCGCACGTGGCCGTTGTGTTCCATTTTGTTTGACGACGCAATGAGGACATCGTCGACATAGGCGAAAACGAAATCGAGACCGTTGAGGATCGAGTTCACGAGCCGTTGAAACGTCTGCGCGGCGTTTCGAAGGCCGAAGCACATTACGGGAAACTCAAAAAGCCCAAACCGTGTCGTGACCGCTGTTTTGTGGATGTCAGCTGTCGCGGTACTTGATGGTAAGTGCGAATAAGGTCGAGCTTGGTGAAAACAGTTCGCCCCGCGAGGTTAGCCGTGAAGTCTTGTAAATACGGCAGCGGGTAACGATCCGGGGTGGTGACGTTGTTGAGGCGGCGGTAATCCCCGCAAGGTCGAAATGTGCCGTCCTTTTTTGACACCAGTAACAGCGGGCTTGCCCAGGAGCTTGACGACGGGCGACAAATGCCCTGTTCCTGCATGTGATTGAACTCGCGGCGGGCGACGACAAGTTTGTCTGGCGGTAATCGTCGTGGGCGGGCGAATAATGGTGGACCCGTAGAAGGTAAAACGTGTTCCACGTCGTGGAGACATTTTTCGGGCACCGGAGACTCGCGAGTGACATTCGGAAAATGTAGGTCGGATCAAAGCCCGATTTTAACAATTGTAATTATAGAAGCTGGAATATGCATTTGAATAATGCAAAATATTTGTTCTTTTTCAAACGTATTTTTCTTCTACTAATTAAAGTAAAATAAATATTCGAGCTTTGATTCGACCTGAAAAAATCTCACCTTTCAGATAAAAAAAAAAAAATGACTTAAATCCGACATATCAACGAGGCATAAGCATGAGAGCTTTTCCTGTAAAAGCATTTTTGTTCATCAAAATAGTGCTTCGATAATAGTCATCGAAGTATAATACTGACTTGTGCATGGACGTGCGTAAATATCGTGCATAAATATCTTTATCTGAGCGTGTAATTATAGCTCACTCACACAGTCACACTAATATTGATTTACATATACATTTTTTTTTTTAGTTCTCACATGTATGGACATTCCGCGTGAGGTCGATACAACATGTGAATTGAATTGCCTACATTTTACTCCTTAACAAATGACCGGCAC